CAACACACCTGATTGAAATAATCAGGTCATCACAAAGTTCTTCAAGGCCTAATATAAAGCCTGTTCAATTGAACCATTGTGTTGCAATGGGGGGAGATGGAAAGCAGAGGTGATTGCTCTAAGACTACAAGGGAAGCTGAGCTTCCCCTAAAATGTCAAAAAATAAGTGATCAAATATATGTGTGAACGTACAATTATGTGGATATGTCATTAATTAAATATGCGCTACAACATGCTCAACTTTTGTTCAGAATCAGCTTCCTACTACTGGTTACGATGCGACTCTCTTCTCATTCATTCCTACAGCTTCACTGTGCTTTAAACTGTGTGCACGCTGAGAGTTGACCACGCGGACGCTGGGCATCGAGAGAGTTCAGTGTAGGTTGTCCCAATGCACTGAAACAAGACGAGTCATGCTGGTTTGTCCCACCCATCGGACGCTCAGCGTCTCTGGGAGTCTATGGACAGTGGGCGTTTATCGGCTGGCCCAGATGCTCAGCTTTTCTGCACGATGATTGGATGATCTGTCTGAAGCTGAATCTCTTTTTGATTGACAGCGAAATGAGCCAATCACCGATCATACGGTGAAAGCATCCTTTTCATTTTTTTGAAAAGGAAGGGAGAGTAGAATTCATGTATAAATAAACGGACACATTTTATGATGTACGCCGAAATTGAGCTTCCCCTCCTTGATACACTAGCATCCGCCACTGATTGAAAAATAAGATAACCTTTATTTGTCCCACACTGGGGAAATTTGCAGTCTACAGCAGCAAAATTGGCAGGGGCGGGGCGGGGATGGGGAATAAGCATGCAGGATACAGGACCTAAGATTCACACATATGCTGTAGCCCATTTAAAGAATTTAAATGACATCAGGTATGCGGATTCACATCAACTCACAGTTTATGCTTGTTTATTTATATATGTATATATATATATCAGTGGCGGACCCCCAGGGCCAGCAAGGCCTTCTCTGCTGGCCTAAACATTCTCAGAAAAGTAAATTTACTTTTCTAAGCAGAACATAAATTTGTTATTTTATTTTCATAAATATGTTAACAAAATTCATTCATTCATTCATTCATTTTCCGAACCGCTTGATCCTCACTAGGGTCGCGGGGGGTGCTGGAGCCTATCCCAGCCGTCTTCGGGCAGTAGGCGGGGGACACCCTGAATTGGTTGCCAGCCAATCGCAGGGCACACAGAGACGAACAACCGTCCACGCTCACATTCACAACTAGGGACAATTTAGAGTGTTCAATCAGCCTACCATGCATGTTTTTTTGCAATGTGAGGAAACCGGAGTACCCGGAGAAAACCCACGGAGACCGGACTACCCGGAGAAAACCACGCAGGCCCGGGGAGAACATGCAAACTCCACACAGGGAGGCCGGAGCTGTATTCGAACCCGGCACCTCCGCACTGTGAAGTCGACATGCTAACCACTGGACTACCGGGCCGCCAGTTAACAAAATTATTCTCTGTATTCTTTACGTCATTTTATTTCCATTTAGTCAAGTGGCTTTCAATGTTATTTTAAATAACATTGAAAGCCACTCGATAAATAACTTACTTATTATGGTAGAGTTTTTAACCAATCATATTTCAGCTAGCTTGCGTTGCCAGGTAAATTAAACTTGCTCGGGGCCTTCAGATTAAACAGAGCAGGCCCCTGTGTGCTGTAAATGAACGGGCACAGTCAGGTTTCAATAGCCAATCAGATCACGAGTCTGCGCACCGGGGCCAGCTAGAATGCCTTACGTCGAGACTGGATGTGCGCGTTCGGTGATTGGATTAGCGCCTGCTCACAGCCTCTGAGAAACGCTGCAAATTGTACTGCTGGGAATGCCTATTGCTTGCAACTGACCGGTGCGTTTAAAAACGTTTGGGGACACTCGCGTAGATCTGCAGCTCGGTGAACAGGCAAGCCGGGAGACGGAGCGCCACAATGAAAAAGTAAAAAAAAAAAATAGGGAGATTAAAATTATACCAGAAACACGACCGGACAAAAATGGCTTTCAACATTAGCTTCCATGTCGATAGAAAAGGACTTGCTAATGGACCTGAAAAACTGTAAAACAGAGCCACTGAAGTGTTCCTGAGAAAAGAAAGGAGGATCGACTTTATTTTCAAATAAGCAGACGCTGTGGAGAACTACATTGGTGAGTCAATGAATTTTATTTTACATTTCTTCTTGTCATTTTATTTCGTGAGTATTAAATTAATACTAACTTGACAAAGATACAAACATGTATCAAATACACACTTCCGGGTTGAGTGAACGCTGGCGCGTCTGGCTGATCTGTTTATTTTCAAAGAATAGTTTGTTTTGTTATTGTTTGGTTGGTGTCTTATATGAAACTGCGACATTGTGCAATTTATTGGACAGACTTGTTTAAGATCACACAGCGTAATTTGGGTGGCGTTTTATTTCATATTTTCAAATCATCTTTTTATTTTTGACTATCTGTAAATGTAGTTTCCTGCTCTTAATTGTGAATGCATATTTGATGGTTTTAAATGCTCCTGAATATATATATGCGCGCACACTTAACTAGGTTTCTGGATTTGATTCATCCATTTTCTGCACCGAATATCCTCACTAGGGTCACACGCAGGCATGCTGCATTTTTCAACTTCCAACAAATATCGAAGTCCAACTTTGAAATTTTGCCTGCAGGGCTTATTGCATCCTATATATATATATATATATATATGCGCGCACACTTAACTAGGTTTCTGGATTTGATTCATCCATTTTCTGCACCGAATATCCTCACTAGGGTCACACGCAGGCATGCTGCATTTTTCAACTTCCAACAAATATCGAAGTCCAACTTTGAAATTTTGCCTGCAGGGCTTATTGCATCCGAAATTGACGTACTCGTACGAGCCACTTGCATCTCTGGCCAGACGGGCTTAGCAGTCTCCCCGCTACTGCTGAATGAATGGCACACGCACTTGCACCCATGCACACACTCGCATACGCGCGCACACACACACATGCCACGATGAGCAACAGACGCAACGGCCCTGAACATGTACAAAACAGAAAAATGTATTTGATACAATAGTATGTGATTTGTGAAAAGTAAATCACAACCTACCTTTGTAGAGACTTGACACGGAGGCATGGGATGCACTTTTGCAGCATGTTAAATACATAAACATCATAATCGTGTACACGCTCACATGTACTGTTTTAAAAGGCTCTTCCTGGGACTCCAGATTCCCATTCTTTGCCAGTGAATTATATAGATGAAACAATAATTGAATGAGAATAATAACAATAATAATAATAATAATAATAATAATAATAATAATAACAGTGGCAGGCCGTGCATTTCAACCTTAGGCCTTCAGTGACGTCACATACATGAACACAGTATTGTATAGGCTCGTCAAGCAGCACTTAATTTCAGGAGCATTTAAAACCATCAAGTATGCATTCACAATTAAGAGCAGGATCCTATGTTGATAGTGGTGAGGATGTTCAGCGCTTCTATAAGCTCCCATAATTTCAGGTCATGCTGGCCCACAAGTCTCCCTTGATTTGACAAAGTTATGCTCAGAATGCTCAAGGTCCATGTTAGCTCAAGGTCCATGGCCAAAATATTCCGTTAAAATCGTGCAAACAGAATCTGGAACCCAAAGCAGAGCCAACTCAACTTGAGCAATTGGTAATTTATTTAACCAAGGAGCACGTCAAAATGAGCAAGACAAATAACATCAAAAAAAGGTTGATGATGAAAAGTCTATGGACAGTGAACACGAGAAGACGAAGGTGGATTGACAAAGCATGATGGAAGATACACACTGAAAAGCGACTAAATCAATAACTACTAAACAACAAAACAAAAAACAATGGAAGCGCAACAGTAATAACAAAAGAACTCAGCTTTAAAGGAATACACAACAATAGCACAGGAGGGGAAATCTGAAATAAATGATAAAGGAATGAAGACCAAAGTGCAAACAGGAACAGATTCAAAACTACACAAATTTAGATGAGAAGACAGAAGACAAAACAAGAACAAAGAATCTTAACTCAAAAGTATAAAGTATAGACAAGACAGACAAAAGTATAACGGATTAAGGAAACCGGAATTGCTTTTGTGACGAAAAGATATGTGACAACTTGAGAAACGGAACATGCCCCATTTTGTTCAGCAAGGATGTTGGACAGTCTGCATTGGTGCAACTGAGCAATGAAGCTGAGGGTGGGGAGAAAGGAGCCTCGTGTGGAGCGCAGATGTGTATTTGGAAGTAAGAGTCGGCGCTTGGAATTGAAGCAGTTCTCAATGGGACTGGAGAATGTAACTATTCTTTCCACATGTACAGTATGTGTGTTGCCCGTCAACGGACACGACAGCTGTTTGTTTCCTTTCAGACTTGTAACAGATGTGTGTGACGTCACGCATGCTGTGATCATGATGTCTCTGATCCATTGGTGAAAGGAAACTGCAAGGTTTCCCTGAGTTCTTTCGAAGGCTGCCAGCCCACCAGGCTTTTCTTGCCCAGCAGGCTATCGGGGTTCTATGGTGCGCCCAATTTGGGTGTGTCGTGCCCAAATTTCATAATATGGCCACTGCAAACAATTATTGGATGTATATGCACAACACACCAAAGTCTCCTCGACAACAAAAATCATCCTTCCATACATCCATTTTCTGATCCGCTTCATCCTCACAAGGGTCGCGGGGTGTGCTGGAGCCTATCCCAGCTGTCTTTGGGCAGGAGGCAGGGGGACACCCTGAACCGATTGCCATCCAATCGCAGGGCACACAGAGGCGAACACCCATCCGTGTTCACACTCACACCTAAGAACAATTTTGAGTGTTCAATCAGCCTGTCATGCATGTTTTTGGAATGTGGGAGGAAACCGGAGTACCTGGAGAAAACCCAAGCAGGCACGGGGAGAACATGCAAACTCCACACATGGTCTTCAGTCCAGTTCAGGGTATTGTCCGCCTTCCTCCTGAAGTCAGCTGGAATAGGCTCCAGAGAACCCCGCTATTCAGGATAAGCAGTGTTGAAAATTGATGGATGGATGAATAGACCTGCTATAAATCACTGTTGAATGTGCACTATAAAATCTATACTTGGATTATATGCTTTCAAACTTAGCTTGTAGCAGACGTGCACATTTTCAGCATGACGTCTTTGATCCACTGGTGAAAGGACACTTTGAATCTCATAACTGCTTCAAACAACAAAGTGTATTCAGGAAAAGTGGTCAAGATTGCACGACTGTCTGTGTCTTATGTGTTGTGTTGTATTATTTTGTCATTTTATGTTAACTGTTCTTTTGATGGCAGCGCGGGCACCCGCAGCGGCTCCTCTTGTTGTCTTGTTGTCTGGTGTAATGGGAATTTGACATCTAACAGCGCTAAATGGAAGTAACTGTTTTTTTTGTACTATTGAATGCTGACCAAAACTTTGAATGCTGACCAGTTATTTTGCGGATAAACAATGTTGCACTAGTCTGTACTGTGTGTAGCTGCTCAAAATGCTGATTGCACTGGACTTTACCACCTCCCAACAAGATAAAATGAGAGCGCAAGATGCGGAGAGGGAGAAGGCTCCCTTGACAGATCGGTGAATGGTGTCCTTGCATATTTTTTTTCCTTTTCTTTTTCTTTCCTAAATAAATCTCATCATTTTTTATAAATATTTTCGTTGTCTTGGTTTCCCTGGACAAGACACTGGTTGAGAGGAAAGAAATTTCATCTGTGCTGTACGTTGCACATACAGCACATTTGACAATAAAGTTGTACTTGACTTGACTTGATGGCCATACATTCATTCATTCATTCATTTTCCAATCCGCTTTATCCTCACAAGGGTCACGGCGGGTGCTGGAGCCTATCCCAGCTGTCTTCGGCCAGTAGGCGGGGGACACCCTGAACTGGTTGCCAGCCAATTGCAGGGCAACTTGACAGCCAAGAGGTTGAAAAAAATTTCTGCAGGGTTTGAATGATGAGGATCAGACAAGCTTTATTCAAGAAACAAAATACAAGATCACATAAGATGCAGCCTAGACATTATAGAGAGTAGACAAAGCAAAGAGGAGAGTGAATTTTTGGTTTGTATAATTGCCAGAAAAAAACTTTTGACAGTTTGAATTGGACGTTTCTGTATAAAGTACTCAAAAGATTTGGATTTGGTGAGGAATCAGTGAATTGTATTAAAGCATTATATCAGGACCCACAGTCGAGGATCAAAATAAATGGTGGTTTTCGATTTTTGCAAAATGGAAAAATATAAAATTAGGGATGACAGACACAGAGGTATGGAATTTAAGAGCACATAAGGATCTGTTGAATATTTCATCTGTCCTTTTTCTAATCCACTTATCCTCATGAGGATCGAGGGGCATGCTGGGGCCTATCCCAGCTCTTTTCGGGCAATAGGCGGGGCACACCCTGAACTGGTTTCCAGCCAATAGCAGCTGTTGAGTATTTTAAGTTGTCATTTGGGAGCGTAGACAAAAACTGCTAGAGAAGTATGGAGTGTGATTGTTGAAAGATATTCATTGGAAAGAGAGTCAAAGGTTTTAAACTGGATTGAATTTGAGGACAGATTCATTCCTGGGGTGTATGATAATGGTTACAGGCAATGGGCGAATAAAGGGATGATAGCGATGTGCACAATAGTTGAACGGGGTAAGATGTAAAGTTTTGGGAAGGAATAGATTAGCATTGGAGGGGCACAACCATTATTTGTTGCTTTACTGTTGTATATGTTAGTTGCTCCATGTACAGCACTTTGTTTGCAGCGATGGCTCTATAAATACAGTTGAGATGAGTTGAAATTATTGGTGTCTACAACCAAAGCATTATTTTGAGAAGAGGTAAAATCTACCAAGAAACATAAAGTCATTGAGAAATTTAAGAACGCTTCTGAGGGGGAAAAAAATTGTAAAGCAATCTCAGATATGTATTGAAGTTTCATGTCATGTAGGAAGCATTCATCTTTTTATTTTACGGAAAAGTGGCAAAAGTCATGACAATTGCAAATAACTCAGGACGATTGGCTGGGTAGTTGTAAAATGCAGTGCACATCCACCAGCTCCAGGATCTGGAGGGAGTTTAATTGTTTGATATATAGCTAGCTATATCTCAATCTAAAGACACACATCTCTTTTATTTACAGAAAGATTAGTTTATTAGAATTCACATGAATTGGATTACCTGTTTTTTTATCGCAGCTCCAGGTACCTTAACTCTCTTAACTTTGTACAGAGAAGAAACGCCATATACTGCTCTGGAAGTGAACAATTAAAAGTACTCAGTGTCAAATTGAAAAGGCTTACAATCATGGATTTCCCCTTTTAATTATATTTTCATCTGATCCCCCAAAAGTCACGCTATTAAAGTAATTAACATTATTGTGACAAAACAAAAACAAACAAACAAAAAAAACAATCCACACCAGCTCTTGAACTTTTCTACCTCCTAACATCAACAGTGTCATTTCTGCAAACTAAAGCCAACGGATGGAAATCATTGGACAGAGTAATAAATACAAAAAAACTGAAAAACGCCTGCCAACCAAAGCTCAATGCTAATTGTTCTGAATAAAAGAGGTCATGTTCTACTTCATTCTCTGCTGGCATGATATTTCACCTCACCGTGGCTCGATTGGAAGTTTCCGTCAACAAAAAGCAGTGGTCACGCAAAACAAAGGCTTCAGCACCAAAGGCCTGCACTCAATTGAGAGAAACACATCACGCAATTTCTAGAGAAAAAAAAATCTAAATTACATTATTTTCCATAATTGATAAGCCCCTGTTCCAACCAAAAATCTTCTTCTGATCATGTTTATTTTTGTTAATCGCTCGTTAATTACATAAGGGCTGTATTGAGTTATACCATGCCAATACGCCAAAAGAACACTTCTCAAGATATTGTTATAAACCACATTTAGTATCCATCCATCCATCCATTTTCTGATCTGCTTATCCTGACAAGAGTCGCGGGGCATGCTGGAGCCTTTTCCAGCTGTCTTCGGGCAGTAGGCGGGGTACACCCTGAATTGGTTAATAATAACAATAATAATAACACCTTTTATTTATAAGCGCCTTTCCAAATACCCAAGGACACTTTACAATCAAAAAAGCAATAAAACCACAGATAAAATAATAAATAATAAAAGCGATGAGTTTAAACTGTATATGCAATTTTAAATAGGTGGGTTTTAAGATGAGTTTTGAATATAGGAAGAGAGTCAATATTTCGGATGTCGGGTGGGAGTGAGTTCCAGAGTTTG